CCTCCTTCACCTGTAACGAGTGGGTATAGGAAAACAAAAAAACCAAGAGATTCAGTGTGGTAGATTTATAATGCTTCTAAAGGAATGAATAAAGGGGGTAAAATCCTATGAGGGTTCCCAAATTCAGAACTCGGGGATAGATTGCGTTGGTGGGAGACCCATGATGGCCGTGCATGGAGTTGAATTTGAGTCAACCCGTGCATGGAGATTTTGAGAATTCTCAAAAACTCCTTGCAACTCCTTGGTGGGAGACCCATGATGGCCGTGGTGTACATCACAACAACCTTAAAGCCTTCCTCGCACCACAATTCTGTACTGGGAATCGAAGCAACAAGTGCAGTGCAGCAAAACGTTGCAGTCCCTGATAGGGGTGAAAAGTATCAGAGCGAGGTTTCGATCCTCGGACCTGTGGGTTATGGGCCCACCACGCTTCCGCTGCGCCACTCTGATCTGCTTGGGATGTTAGGAAAACTAAACACAAACCCTACCCCAATCCTCCACTCATCCTTCCCTCATCCTCCTCTCATCCTTCCCTCATCCTCCCCTCATCTTTCCCTCGTCCTCCCCTAATCCTCCCTCCCACTCTCCCCTCATCCTCCCCTCATCCTCCCCTCATCCCCCCCTCAATCCTTCCCCCCATCCCATCCCAAATAAACCTCCACCCTCCCCCATACACCCAATCCCAGCCCTCCCACAATTTCCCTCCCCAACCCCCCCAGCCACACCACCTTCTCCCATCCTTTCCCTCAAAGGCGCTTTCCCTATCTCCCCACCCTTACATCCCCCCACCTCCCTCCCCCCCCACCCCCTTCTCCTCCACCCCGCCAACCACTCCCCCCGCCCCCATTCCCCCTTTTCTCACCTTCCCCGCATTCCATCCGCGGAAGGGAGGCTTGGGCCTGCTTCCGCCCCCCTTCCCTCCGTTAGCCCGCACCTTCCCCCCAAATCCCCCCCTTTTCTCTTCCTCCCCCTCCCTTCTCCCCTCACCTTCCCCGCATTCCATCCGCGGAAGGGCGGCTTGGGCCTGCTTCCGCCCATCATTTCGTTGCGCTGCGCTAGGTGCATCTGGGGGGAAGAAATAGGGGAAGACAGAGGGGGAGGAGGAGTTCAGTGGGATGGAGGAAATGGCAGGGGGGGATGAGAGGGAGTTGGGGGGAGTTGCGCCTGCTTCCGCCCATCATTTCGTTGCGCTGCGCCAGGTGCATCTGGGGGGAAGAATGGGGGAGGGGGGTGGGGGGAGAGAGTTGGGGGAAGGTGCGGGAAATGGCAGGGGGGAGATGGGAGGGAGGTTGGGGGAGTTGCACTTGCTTCCGCCCATCATTTCGCTTCGCTGCGCCAGGTGCATCTGGGGGGAAGAAAAGAGAAACGGGAGGGGAGTGGGGGGTGGGGGAGGGAGGGAATGTGGAGTGAATGTGGCGGAGGAAAAGTGTTACCCTGTTACACCGTCCATTCGTTAATTTTTACGCGCGTTCAAGGGAATGTGGGGAGGATGTGGGGGAGGAAATGTGCTACCCGGTTACCCGTCACCCTCCAACGCATTCAAGGGCTCTTTTGTCTGTCGACCCGCCTCAAAACTCAGATTCGGCTCATTGTGTGCAGTAAGAATCTAGAATTTAAAGCACAGCCTATTTTTTCTCACTTACAGAAGCACCTCATCACGAGTTTAAATGAGTCTCTTCTTTCACCAACCACGAAAACCAACCATGTGACATTGTACTCGTTATAAGCGCACCTGATAAACAGCCTCGCCATGGGTGAAATCCGCCTCGTCGATCGTCTGCTTCTTCCTCTCAGGCCCTCCGACGATTGGCTTCGATAAATCGAAGTCCGACAGAAACGGAACGTTTTCCTTTCCGCTTCCTGCTCCGCCCGCCTCCCCCGCCGCTGCGCCTGCGCCTCCCGCGGAGCCTCCGCCTTGCGCTTCCGCTGGTTTCTTCGCAACTGTGACGGGTGGAACGGCGAAGATGGTAACGGATGCGCCTGTAATGCGGATGAGAATCATGCAAACGAACGCTGCGAAGAGGAAGAAGGCGAACGACGCGAGAAGCGCTCGCACGAGCGAGTCGCCCTGGCTGGCGCGCTTCCAGCCTGCGCGCTTCGGGTTCATGGCGCTTTTCTCGAGCTATGTACCTTCGCTGAGTATAGGACACTAGAAACCGGAATAATAGTACTAGAGTAAGTAATTACCGGGACGTCGGTCCGCAACTATGCAGGCAGAGAGCGGTGGTAAACAACTTGACTTACAATCTTCTCTAGGAACGGAAAAGTGGATTTGAGCGTATTATCGTGTTGCTGAGACAACAAATTATGTCTGAAGGCGAAAAATAGTGTGCAACACGCTGCCATACGCCCCATACTTTCATTGCCCAACCGGGTAGCTTCATTTCCGCATTGATGCGCTGTCATTGCCTGCTTGCTGCTGCTGCAGAGGCGCCCACATGCTACAGTACCACCATGTGGAAGTTGGTATGGGGTGGGCTGAAACCAAGGCCGTCCAATGATTGTTTGCCACCTCTGAAGCGAAACACGCAAGCTGGGACAAGGCGAGGCGATATTTCAAAAACCCGGGACAGAGCGCTTCACTACGGTTTAGTAGGGTGAGATGAGAACTTTTCCACTCTAGTAAGAAGGTTGACACATATCGCTGTATACTCAATGAGGGTATCTCACGATATTGCAATACATTTTGCCAGGCAGCATTGCAAAATCAGGTGATCACAAGATAAGTCGTAAAGATAAACATATTTTTCGATGCCAGGTGGCATATGCCATCGTCCATGAATGGCTTGGGCATCGGCGAGTAATCTCTCCATATTTCAACAGGAGTGCTGTGCAGGATGTCGGTTCACTGGTGGGTGTGCAGTGGAACCAGCCCCACTAGTATGTAGTGCTACTTGACCACTGCTTGGTAAACATGTTTGTGAAACCTACACTTCATAACTTATTGAACCACACGGAAAATTTACAGAGAGCAGCGGTACCGTATGTGAGAACAAAGAAGGGAGGGAGGGAGAGAGAGAGAGGGAGGGAGGTCGCAAGCGACACGGGCGGGGGGGGGGGGGGGGTGGGGGGGGGGGGGGGGGGGGGGGGGGGGGGAATGAGCGGGGGGGAAATGAGTGAGGGAGAAGGTGCGGGAACGCTAGGGAGCGAAGGGGCGAGGGGAAGAGAGAGAGGAAAGAGAGGGAGGGAAAGAGAGAGAGGGAAAGAGAGAGAGGGTAAGAGAGAATGGGAAAGAGAGAGGGAAAGAGAGTGGGAAATAGAGGGAGAAAGAGAGGGAGAGAGAGGGGGAAGGAGAGTGAGGGAAAGAGAGAGAGGGAGAGAGAGAGAGGAAAGAGAGAGGGGGAAAGAGAGAAAGGGAAAGAGAGAGGAGCGAGGAGCGAGGGAGCGAGAGAGAGGGAGCGAGAGAGAGAGGGAGCGAAAGAGAGAGGGAGCGAGAGAGAGAGGGAGCGAGAGAGAGAGGGAGCGAGAGAGAGGGAGCGAGAGAGAGAGGGAGCGAGAGAGAGGGAGCGAGAGAGAGAGGGAGCAAGAGAGAGGGAGCGAGAGAGAGGGAGCGAGAGAGAGGGAGCGAGAGAGAGGGAGCGAGAGAGAGGGATCAAGAGAGAGAGAGAGAGAGAGAGAGAGAGAGAGAGAGAGAGAGAGAGAGAGAGAGAGAGAGAGAGAGAGAGGGAGGGAGAGAGGGAGAGAGGGACGGGGGGGGGGCAAGAGAGAAACGGTGGGGGAGGACAGCGGCGGGAGGGAGGGCGCGGGAGGGATGACAGGTTGGAAGGAGGTATGAAGGGAGGGAGGGAGGGAGGGAGAGAGGGAGGGAGGGAGGGAGGGAGGGAGGGAGGGAGGGAGGGAGGGAGGGAGGGAGGGAGGGAGGGAAAGAAGAAGGTAATAAGGTGAAGGCTGGCGAGGGGGGGATGCAGTAGTAAGGAAGGAAAGTGGGAGGAATGATGAAGGATTAGGGGAGGAAGAGGGGCGGAAGGGGGTAGGAAGAGGGAAGAGAGAGAAGAGAACGAGGGAGGAAGAGGGAGGAAGAGGGAGGAAGAGCGACGAAGAAGGGAGGTGGGGGGGAGAGGGGAGGGGCAGAACAGCGAATTTTATGCGAGGGAGTATGGAAAAGACGGGAAAGAAGGGGAATGGAACGCGGAGAATGGGGAAAAACGGGATACGGAGGAGCGGGAAATGGGTGTGTCGAATGGGGAACGAGGTAGTGGGTGGATAGGGGGATGGGGAGTGGGGAATAGGGAAGGCAAAAATGGCAATGAATGCGGAACTCAAATTCCTGAGGGTTGTTTCATTCCGTGCCCTTATTTAGCCGGTGATATATTCTTGAACACCCAAATGCTCGCTCAATGGGGACATGGGGAATGAGATCACTAGAGAGGTCTTAACCCAGACTTGCAACTAATAAAAAGTTCGTAAGGCCCTAACGAATCTACTCGTTACTAGCAGATCTCAAGCAAGCCGCTTCATTACCGAAACGAACTCCCAATCCTGCTATAACCATACTGCAACTCACTGTTCTTCCGATCGCTGACGCGAGCACACTGGCATCAAACGAATCGGCTTCAAACGAAAGCTTCTTGATCCGCGACACCCGCCGTGGTAACTCAGCGAAACGAGAAACGGGTTACAAATTCACGTCGCCGTAACCGCCGCGCCCGGCCGCGCGAGCGGCATTTCGCGAGCGTTGCACGCAGATCCAGATCCCAAAAGACAGAGCTCCGACTCCGAGAATCACTCCAATCACCGTCCCCGCGATCACTCCGCTGCTCGGTCCGCTCGACGACGCGGGCGGCGCAGGTGTCGTCGGAGGCGGCGGCAGCGGCGGCGCCGGCGGAGTCAGCGATTGCGCGACATTGAACGGCGGAGATGCGTAGTCCTCATCTGGCGGAATATACTGGTCCCCCGGAAAGTTGTCCTGATTCACCCCCCCTGCCTCCGACGGGGGGGCGGAATCCACTGGGGGGGATTTCGGCAGAGGTTTTCCCCCTTCCGGCGGAGGAGCTGGGGCGTCAACTGGGGGCGCCGCGGGCGGAGAGATCTCGGGGGAAGGCGTGGGCGGAGAGATCTCGGGGGAAGGCGTGGGCGGAGAGATCTCGGGGGGTGGCGTGGGCGGGGGAACGGGGGGCAAGGATGGAGTGGGGGCAGGCGCGGGCGCGGGTTGCGGAGCGGGGACAGGGGGAGGGATGGGCGGAGCGATGGGCGAATCGATGAACGCGGGCGCGGGCGTCGGTGAGGGCGCGGGCGTCGGTGAGGGCGCGGGCGTCGGGGAAGGCGCGGGCGTTGGGGAAGGCGCGGGCGTTCGGGCCGGCGCGGGCGTTGGGGAGGGGGACAGAGTAGGCTCCGGAGCGGGTGCAGCGACTGGGGGAGGAGGGGGCGGGGAGGCCTTGGTTGGGGGAGGGGAGGCCTTGGTTGGAGGGGAGGCGCTGGTTGGAGGGGAGGCGTTGGTTGGAGGGGAGGCGCTGGTTGGAGGGGAGGCGTTGGTTGGAGGGGAGGCGCTGGTTGGAGGGGAGGCGTCGGGGGGAGGGGGGGGCTTGTGGGGCGGAGGCGGCGGCGACTTCCCTAGGGATGGGGCGACGAGAAGCGCGAGGAGAACGAACAGCACTTGGATATGCGCAGATCCGCGCGCGCGCGCCATGTTTCCGCTCGCGTGCAATGCGCTGCGCGATGCGCGCGTGACTGCGGAAAAGACCCGGCGAGAGTATCACCGCGAGATTTGCGGCGGGGATAAGGCTGCAAGCGCGGACCCTGACCCGACAAGATGGCTGCGGCTCCGCAGCAATGGGGCCTCGGTGAGCTTTGAGTTGATCGAAGAAAGTGCGGTAGGGTGAACAGACCCTGAATGTGGAAGCGGTTCCACTACCGCAAAATGAAGGGGCACAGCAGCCTTTAGCTAGGCTGGCAAAAAATTCAGGGGTGCTGGGATTTGAAGGAATGAGTGGTGTGGTGTGGATGAGAATGGAGGAGGGCAGGTAGGGGCGGAAACAAGGTGGGTGAATGTCAACGCAATGGGCGGATGTGTCGTGTCGAATGTCCAACCAAAGCTCTCGCTTGCCTGCCTTCACTGCCGCCAAGGGATTGCCGAGGCGCAGGTAGGGGCGAACTTAGCGGGCGAAAGTTTGGAGAAAGGCGTAAACACCAATGAAAGCGGCATGGTCGAGGTTCGGAAGGTAACGAAACGTGAAGACGCTGGTTTGACATCTCACGACAAATTAGGCACTCTGGCTTCGTTCTCGTTTGGCTTGCATTCAATGGTTCGTGGAGGTTTGGAATAAGGCTCGGCACTAATGGCTTGGAGAGTGTTGGTGTGCGGATGCCACACCGATTTGCGTGCGGACGCAGGTCTTTCGCCAGATTCGCAACTGGGGTGTTCAGGGGGTAGTTCGCACATCACCGAGCTTGTTGGCGAAACAATCGCATGGGCAGCCGGGTTCGCACGAAAATCCCAATCTTTCGAGGGGCGTGATTGATTGGCCAGAAGTTTCAAGCATCCGCGAATCTCGGAAAATGGAAGCACCCATTCAGATTCGTCGTTATGCACTACGTAACACGATGGTGTACATACACTTTGAATGCTGAAAAGTAATACAGTAGCTAACCCTCTTTCCATCTATAGCCACACCTCATGTTACAGCACTTGTAAAATATTGTCATGGGCTCATCAGCCGATCGGGTTTGGATTTGCATGAAAAACGCTTGCGAATGACCACACTTGGGACATGACGCTGCAAGGAAAACCACCGCGGAGGGGGGGGGGTGGGGGGGGGGGGGGGGGGGGGGGTGGAGGAGGGGGGGAGGGTGGGATATTGCATCAACCAACAATACAACAGAACACAAAAAGCTCGCAAGTTCTCTCCCATGCATTCATTTCAAAGTTTTATATTTTTGCTGAATGCGCACCTTCGGTTTTGTCGACATTTTTCCACGCGTCCTCCCCTCCCAACACGTCATCCACCTCCTTTTGCACCACCAGTTGGCGCCTTGAAATCTGCATTATGCACGGGGGGGGGGGGGGGGGGGGGGGGGGGGGTGTCGGGTGGTCACGAGGGGTGTGGGGAGTGGGGAGTGGGGGAGGGGGGCTACTGGGGAGCGGACGTACAGGTCTTGCGATGAACACAGAGCCTTTTGAGACGTCTCAAAAGTCATCATTGGCCGGCGTTGACTAGCATTGACTGGCAACACTCTCACCCTTGGCGTGATGCATTGACTAGCATTGACATACGTTGACTGCAATGGCTCACCTTCCTGGTGATGCTAGACATAGGGGCACGTCTGACAGAAGAACCAAGCCATTGACTGGCGTTGACTAGGATTGACTGTATTGAATTCAACTCACCTTCCTGGTGATGCCATAGACATAGGGGCACGTCTGACAGAAGAACCTCGCCTCTCGCCCCATGTGTGCCTGCTCCACCAGCAGCATGTTGGCACACGTGGGGCAGAACTCCATCTAGACGCGCTGTTGCGTTGATAGCACAAGGGGAAGTAGAAGGAAAGGATTGGGAAGCAGGTGAGAGAATCGCGACTCTCGCCCCATGTGCGCCTGCTCCACCAGCAGCATGTTGGCACACGTGGGGCAGAACTCCATCTATTCGTTGGAATGCTGGGAGGACGTGGAGAATGAGAAGGGAAGGACAGAAAGGTAGCTGAGACTGAAGAAGCGCGCTTTTCTTGCCCCAGGGAAGAGGAGAATGACAAGGGAAGGACAGAAACATAACTGAGACAGAAGCTGCGCTTCTCTCCCCACGTGAGCCTCTCTCTCCCCACGTGGGCCTCTCTCCCCCCACGTGGGCCTCTCTCTCTCCCCAAGTGGGGGAGAGGAGATTTTGGAGGAGGGGTAGGTATTGGGTAGGGTACATAGGGGAGTGGTTAGTGGGGAATATGGGGGGAGAAATGGATGGGTTGGGGGAAGAGGGGTACTGGAGAGGAGGGAGGGGACTGGATAGGGGGGAGAGGGGTTTGGGTAGGAAAGGAGAGAGGATTGATTATAAGAGGAGAGGGGATTGGGTGAAGGGGAGTAAAGGGGGAGGGGATTGGGAAAAGGGGAGAGTGGATAGGGTATTGGGGAGAAGAGGGGGATGAGCTGCGGAGAGGAAGCGCCTTCCCGCATTTCGCGGGGGCTCAATCGTACCTGGAAAAGGGTAGGAAGGAAACGTAGCAGATGGCGCCGCAGTTGGCGCCGCTGTTGACGTGGCACCGAGAACGCCCAGCTGTGGCTCACATGGGTGTCTTAAGGCGACACTGCGGGATCCACTGCGCGCGACTCTACGGAGGACACTGCGGACGACACTGCGGGAGAAAAAGCTGCTTTTCTGTCAGGAATAAAAAACGTATAAATTAAATAAGTATATTTTGGTTGCGTGGGTGTTTGGTCTAGTGGTATGATTCTCGCTTTGGGTGCGAGAGGCCGCGAGTTCGATTCTCGCAACACCCCTGTCCGCTTTTGTAGTTTATTTTTTCCCCTCCTGCTCCTTCTATTTTCTCTGCTAGTCCTTGATATCTCTCTACGGCGTCGCTTGTCCAATTTTCATTACCTTTCAACCTCGTGAGTGCCAAGGCACGTGCTACAGCAGACCAACCCTTCACACCCCTTTCATCCCTGCCAAACAGCCCCTAAAGCTATCCAACTACTATAAACCGCCTCCATAGCACATCCTACGTGTGTGTCCATACAGCCTTGAGATCTTTTGTCCATGGTGGTACCTATGTATCTGCTCACATTTTCCCACAAGGCAGAGCAACACCAGGCAGCCTATCCCTATCATGGGGAGCAGTATGAATCCCTAGCTCACGGAAACAATCCAAAAAAGGGGTTGATTTGATGGAAGGGTGGCTTCAGAAATACGGTACCAATCGGATTTGATATGCGGCAACTATGTAATGGCTCTAGTCCTTTTTCTATATACATTAAAATACATCGTAACAATGATCAATTGCACCACTCGCTCCTTTCCACAAGCCAGAGCAACACGAGGCAGCCTGTCCCTATCGTGCGGCGCAGTGTAATCAATACCCTGTCCCATAGGAATGATGCCGAAGGGGTTGATTGAAGGGTGGTTTCAGATATGGTGCGACTTGATGTGCAAAGACCATGGAATGAATATGGCCCTTTCTCTAGTACAGTACTGAAAGACCAGTACATTTGAACACGATCAATTGCACCACTCACTCCTTCCCACAAGGCAGAGCAACACGGGGCAGCCTGTGCCTATCATGCGGCGCAGTGTAATCAATACCCTGACCCATAGGAATGATGCCAAAGGGGTTGATGGAAGGGTGGCTTCTGAAATAGTGAGACTTGATATGCGCCATGTTCACTGTAGAGGCTATTCCGGGCAGCTGGTAAATTTCCTTGGTGTAGTTGAAGAGGTTGGGGAATTCGCGGATGAAATTGCGGTTACACTTGAAATGAACCACGTACACCTATACGGTATGTATGTTGCGGGGGCGGGAAAGGGAAAGAGAAGGGTGTGTGTGAGTGGGGTGGTGGAGATTTGTGTTCAGGTGTGGTGTGTGTGTGAGTGTGTGTGTGCATGTGTGGGTGAGTGTGTGAGTATGTGTGTGTGTGTGTGAGTGTGTGAGAATGTGTGTGTGTGTGTGTGTGTGTGTGTGGGGGTGTGTGTGCATGTGACGTTGTAAGAGCCAGGATGATACGGCCGTTTTTCGCAGGGGAGTGAACTAAATCAGTCAAGATGGTAGTAATACCAGGAACGGACCTGGGTTACAAAGGCTACTATGCTCAGCATTGTGACGAGAAAGAGGAAATTACGGCCGTATTCAAAGGTACATCTTACAATGTGCCGGAGTTACTTGGGCGTAGCTCGTCGAATCGAATGAGAGTGACAAACAGGCGAATGTCTGCCTCTGTGAAGGCTTCCCCTGCTTTGTAGTGCTGGGACTCTGGCTCAAACAGTCACTAGGCGTACCAATGTTCACCCCGAATAATGGAAAGGTTGCAAGGGTTACTAAGGCGTACCTCGTCGAATCGAATGAGAGTGACAAACAGGCGAATGTCAGCCTCTGTGAAAGTGTCTCCTGCAATGTAGCGCTGGCGAGACAAGATGTCCTCACAGCGATCGAGAGCAGCAAAGAGCTCCTTGAACGCCTGGGAGTGGGCGTGCAGAGAGCAGAGGGGACAAGACATGAACACAGGAATGCCAATAAGTGCTTCTTGAATGCTGACGGGACAAGACGTCCTCACAGCGATCGAGAGCAGCAAAGAGCTCCTTGAACGCCTGGGAGTGGGTTAGGAGACAAAGGGGGAGCAAGCAGAGAGCTCTGTAAAAGTATCTCCTGCAATGTAGCGCTGCTTGGAAAGAATGTCCTCACAGCGATCGAGAGCAGCAAAGAGCTCCTTGAACGCCTGGGAGTGGGGGAGATCGAGCAGGAGAAGAAGAGGGGAGCGAGAGTTGTTTCAGCAATGGCATATCCTTGAGAGCTCCTTCAAAGACTGGACGTGGTAGACTAAGGGGTGGACGGAGAGTGAGGGGTGGACGGAGAGTGAGGGTGGACGGAGAGTGAGGGGTGGACGGAGAGTGAGGGTGGACGGAGAGTGAGGGGTGGACGGGTGGAGAATGCATGAGTAAACATCCACCTGTCCTCATTTATGCAGTGATTCGACTCACCTCCTCGTATGGGCCTTATTTCTTGGCAAAGCCGCAGCGATACACGCCGTTATTGATCGCTGGATACACCCACTCGTTCACCCCGCCCTATCACAGGCACAGGGGCACCCACAAACCCTCCCACCCACCCACCCACCCACCCACCTCTTCATATGGGCCTTGCTTCTTGGCAAAGCCGCAGCGATACACGCCGTTGTTGATTGCCGGATACACCCACTCGTTCACCTCATCGATTGCTGCTCGCAGGTGGGGCGGGTAAAGGTCCACCTGAGGAGGAGTGGTGAAGGAAAGGCGCGAGTGAGAAGGGTGAAAGGAAGAGGGACGCCGCTGCTGATCGCTGGATACACCCACTCGATCACCACGTCGATTGCTGCTCGCAGGTGGGGCGGGTTAAGGTCCACCTGAGGATGTGGATGGGAGAGGGAAGGGGAGGGAGGGGGGAGAGGGGTTGCGCATGGGAGCATCCACCCAAGCACGGGAGCACGGAAGCGACACGCATGCCCGGGTGCCCAGCATCTCCTTTTGAGTCGTCTCAAAGAGCATCTCCTTTTGAGACGTCTCAAAAAGCATCTCCTTTCGCCTCAACAATTGCTGCCCGCAGGTGCATCATCCGGGCAGATGTAGACGTCTATTGTCTACCTGCAGGTAGGCGTGGGTATTTGATAGCCGGCGGGTATGGGAGGAGAGGATGGGGGGCGAAGAGAGAGGAGGAGGAGGTCACATGGCCCCCCTCCTTCATGCATGAATCCATATGAGACTGTTTAGTCACCCTAACACTGCTGAATTCACCTGACACTGCTGAATTCACCTGACACTGCTGAATTCACCTGACACTGCTGGATTCACCTGACACTACTAAATTCACCTGCCATTGCTAAATTCACCTGACACTGCTGAATTCACCTGACACTGCTGGATTCATCTGACACTGATAAACTCACCTGACACTGCTGGATTCACCTGACACTGCTGAATTCACCTGACACTGTTATAAATCATACTTACCTGAGGGTGCTTGGCTATGGCGTTGAATTCCGAGTTGAGCATTCGCACGATCTCCGCACTCTCGTTGTTCACTATGGTGCTTGTTTGCTTGTCCCACAGGACCTACAAGGAAGAGCAGGAGAGCACAGAACAGGAGAAAAAGGGGTTTAAGTTACGCATTCGCATGATGTCGCTGCACTCACGATGCCGCTCTCCTTGTCCCACAACAGCTGAGAGTGAGAGAGGGAGGATAGAAAATCCAACCAAGGAAATCTGTAAGCCAACTATCCACCCAGCCACACCCACCCACCGCCAGTGCCGCCCCCACTCCCACGATTCTCTCACGAACACCAAAACCCAGCCCCAATCCCACTCGCACCCTCACTCGCACCCCTCACTCGCGCTCTCACTCGCACTCCCACTCGCACTCCCAGACACACACTCACACGCACAATGAACTTGATTCTGCTTTTTGAGTCGACTCAAAAGCAGACAATGAACTTGGCGGCACAGGGGTCGACCTTCTCATACACGTCCCTCAGGAGGAGGGCTCCATTCAAAGGGTCGCTCTCTGCCCCTGCCACCTCCGCCTCTGGTGTTGGAACAACAACCCACCCATTCACACCCAGTCACACCTACTCCCACCACTCACAGGGACAATGAACTTGGCGGCACAGGGGTCGACCTTCTCATACACGTCCCTCCGGAAGAGAGCTCCATTCAGGGGGGTCCCTCTCTGCCCCTGCCACCTCCGCCGATAGTGTTGGAAGCAACCCACCCAGTCGCACCCAGCCACACCCAGCCACACCCAGCCACACCCACTCCCACCACTCACACGCACGATGAACTTGACGGCAAAGGGGTCCACTAAAGGCTTCTCATACACGTCCCTCTGGAAGAGAGCTCTGCTGAGCGGGACACTCTCTATTCTTACTTACAGGAACACACTCCCAGACCCAAAGGGACAAGAACACTCACAGACTCAAAGGCACGATGAACTTGGCAGTACTGGGGTCGACCTTCTCATACACTCCCTCAGAAAAAGGGCTCCGTTAAGGGTGTCGCTCTCTGCTCCTGCCCCCTCCGCCTCTCCTCTCGCCCTGGCTCATGCACACTCACAGGCACGATGAAATTGACGGCACAGGGGTCGACCTTCTCATACACGTCTCGAAACAGAAAAAGGGGTCCGTTTAGGGGGTCGCTCTCTACTCCTGCCCCCTCCGCCTCTCCCCCTGGCGCCACGAACAAGCCCCAAACCACGTGCCATGCCACGTGCCATTCACAGTTACAGGGACAATGAACTTGGCGGCACAGGGGTCCGCCTTCTCATACACGTCCCTCAGGAGGAGGGCTCCATTCAAAGGGTCGCTCTCTGCCCCTGCCACCTCCGCCTCTGGTGTTGGAACAACAACCCACCCATTCACACCAACTCACACCTACTCCCACCACTCACAGGGACAATGAACTTGGCGGCACAGGGGTCCACCTTCTCATACACGTCCCTCAGGAAAAGGGCTCCGTTCAAAGGGTCGGTCTCTGCCCCTGCCACCTCCGCCTCCCCTCCCGGCGCCACGAACTGCCAGCCCACGTGGTCGTCCCCCTCCCTCGTGCGTTTCCATACAGGCTCCACCACCTGAGAGAGGGTTTGAAGAATAGGGGAACACAGAGGGTGGGAGCAGGGGAATGAGAGTATGGGAAGGGGGAAATGGACATGAGTGTCGCTCTCTGCCCCTGCCACCTCCGCCTCTCCCCCCGGCGCCACGAGCGGCCAGCCCACGTGGTCGTCCCCCTCCCTCGTGCGTTTCCATACAGGCTCCACCACCTGGGAGAAGAGGGCGAGAATAAGAGCAGGAGAACGCGAGCAGGGGAGAGGGGAAGGGGAATGAGGGAAAGATGAGGGTCCCTCTCCGCCCCTGCCACCTCCGCCTCTCCCCCCGGCGGCACAAACGGCCAGCCAACGTGGTCCTCCCCTTCCCTCGTGCGCTACCACACTGGCTCTACCACCTGGGATGAGAGGGGAATGGGGGAAAGCAGCAGCGGAGAGGGGAATGAGTGTCGCTCTCCGCCCCTGCCACCTCCGCCTCCCCCCTTGGCGCCACGAACGGCCAGCCCACGTGGTCCTCGCCCTCCCTCGTGCGCTGCCACACCGGTCCTACTACCTGTGAGAGTGGGAGAATGAGGGGGAATGGGAGCAGGGGGGAGGGGAATGTGTGAATGTGTCGCTGCTCTTCGCACCTGCCACCTCTGCCTCTCCCCCCTCCGCCTTTCTCCCCGTTTCCATACGGGCTCCACAACCTGAAATGAGAGAATAAAGCAGCGGGGTGAGGGTAATGTGCTTATAACGGAAATTGCTTAGAGTCACGGAGATGGCGTTCTCGAGCCCAAGACGCGTGACGTTGAGAATTCCCCCGTTGAGCGTCAATAAGCACACTCATGTTCGCTGCTCAAGTCACTGTAATGCTTGTACAGTGCCTACAACGGATGTGACTATAGCGGAAGCAGAAGCGCTTATAACGAGGGGATTCTTACAGTCACACAAATGGCATCCTCGGGCCCCTTGAGCTTGAGCGCCATGAAGCACATTCATGCTCGCTTTAGTCACTGTAATGCTTATAGCGGAAGTGACTATAGCGGGAGGTGCTTACAGTGATGAGAAACTGCATCCTGGAGCCCCTTGAACTCGAGCGCCATGAGCGCCATGAGTCAGTTTTGTACCGCACTGTCATATAACAGCACAGTCACACAACTATAGTCACCCCTGTTAGAGGGCCCTACGACAGCAAGGGCCCTCGATGACCTTTGACTTGCCAGGTCGGCGCCTAACGACTGAGTCTACTCGGCACCGACGCACAAGTTCGGTGGCGGTCATTAGTGACTACGGGTGACTGTGAGCTACTGCAGCGAACTCGGCGGAATCGGTGCTAGGAATGACGAGTCTTGGGGGTCGTAGGTGCCTTGCTTGTGAGGCACGCTGCTCACTTGCTGTGTTGGCAGGAGTAGCGTGCACGGTCAGATCTTCCGGTGCCGAGTTGGGTTGGAAATGTGCGGGGCGCGTTCACCCACCTGCACAGCACTTTCGTGTGGGTTGGGTTACTCGCAGCGCCACGCAACAATTGTGCAACTCTTGCTTGCCTATATATGTTTGTGTTTGCTTGTCTGTTTGATACTTGATATTCCAATTCTACTTGGTCCAAATGCTACTTCAATTCTCACAAAGTCCTTAGAGGCAAACTCTACCAAGTTGCTGGCGCAACATCATTCCCATAGCAGAGACTCTCTCGCTATCGCTACGCTCTCTAATATATTCCTTCAACCCCCACGTACAGTCACACTATAGTCACCCCCACGTACAGTCACACTATAGTCACCCCCACGTACAGTCACACTATAGTCACCCCCACGTACAGTCACACTATAATCACCCCCACGTAAAATGACGGAAATGGCGTCCTCGAGCCCCTTGAGCTTGAGCGCCATGAGGCAGCGACACGCCCAGGGGCACGCGTAGCTCACGTACAGGTGGTACCTGGGGGCGGTTGGAAGGGGGGAGGGGGAGGGGAAGGGGGAGGGGGAAGGGAGCCGGGGGCAGTTGGTCCTATCCATCTACATAACTGCCGCCGACGGCAGGGAATCCGCTGGACCCATCCGCGGTGATGACGCTGCGGATCGCGGAGGGCGTGCGCCGCCAGAACGCGCCGTCCGCGCTATAACACACTTGATTACCGCGTACAAGCGTACCTGCCGGCGACGGCGGGGAATCCGCTCGACCCATCCGCGCTTATACCCGCCGTCCGCGCTCGTCTCCTGAATCGCCGTCACCACCATGGCGAGCGCTGCTGCTGACGTGGCGGGCGCTGCTGCTGACGTGGCGGGATCTGCTGACGTGGCGATCGGATCAGAAGAAGACCTCGTAGTCACTGCGGTGGCTTGTCGAACGCGCGAGCGACGACTGGAAGGCTGGTGCTGCTGCGGCAGGCACGGCGATTGCGGCAGCAAGGATTGTTCGAAGAGGAACGTGGTTGAATTGTTTGCGACCCAGTCGCCACTCGCAAATTTCTTGAATTTCGTGAATCTCGCCAATCTCGAAAATCACGGAGCCGGTGGGACCGTCGAGTTACATACACTCTTAGTGGGCGATCGAAACTGCTGGAAACGGCAGGGTTCAGGGGCGGTAGCAAAAGTAAAAGGAAAATCAGGCGAGCGCAAAGACTGGTGCTCAGCAAGAATTCTGACTGGGACGGAGGCAGCAAGACGTGCGGACAGCGGCAGGCGAAGGGCTGACGACCCAACAGTCGCCATGTCTGGTTTCGGCTGGTTTTCGCGATTGCAGAGGAGAGAAGGATGACGAAGAAGGAAAAGAAACGCGTTCTTGCTGAGAAAACTGAAACGAGAATGATTGACTAAGGAACGAAGGTGATACAAATATGCAACCCTAGAAATGTGTACCCCATATAGGCTACCCCACTATAGCCTACACAACATTATAATTTAACACACCCCCATAGGCAAAGTGGGGGAGAACAAGGGGTCACAAGACCAGTCAAGCAAAACAAAGCAAAGCTCAGGGTGGATCACAAAGTCACCACACATTTCGAGCACAAGTTCAAGGCCACAAGGCCAGTTCACATGCAGGAACACATATATATATAACAGGCTAAACAAGCAAGAGCAGGAGTATATATATACATATGTCACAGTACAAGCAAGGTCAAGAAGTGAGTAAGTGAGGCAAGACAGGTACAAGACCAAGCTGAGTACAGAAGCGCTGATGATCACAAGGCGCAAGTGCCTTAGTGAAGATATCAGCAGTGTTGGCCTCAGAGGCCACGTACGCAAGTCGCAACTGACCACGCTGCTGCAGCTCACAAGCAAGAAAGTAGCGGAGAGCAATGTGCTTCGTTCTGTGCTCCAGGCGCTGCTCCCGACACAAGGCCAGCATGGCCTTGTTGTCTACGTACAGCACTGGAGGAGAACGAGGCGGCTCTCCGAGGTCAGTCAGCAGGTAGGTGAGCCAGCCAAGCTCCTGAGCAGCCATGGCTCCGGCGTAGATCTCAGCCTCACAACTGGAGCCGAGAACAGAAGACGAGCGAGTAGCCCGCAACAAAACAGAGTCGGAACCAAGGCTGAAGGTGTAACCCTGTGACGACCGCTGTGTAGCCTGGTCGTCAGCCCAAGAAGCTTCTGCGTGCCCAGTGAGGACCACTGGACTCTGCCCTCTAAGCACTAGCCCCATGCCCGACGTACTGCACAAGTAGCGCAACACCCTCTTCGCTGCAGCCATGTGCTCTGGTCTGTGTCTCCTAGGAGTAACATAGCGTGCGAGAATGCTAAGAGGGTATGCAAGGTCACGTCGTGTGCAGGTCATCAGGTACATGAGGCAGCCAACAAGCTCTGGGTACGGGCCACTCGACTCTACGGACTCATCCGAAGGCAGAGCTGAGAGCGAGTGGCGAGTAGGCAGAGGAGTGGCCTGAGGCGAGGAGTACGTGAAGCCGAAGCGCTGAAGGACCTGCTGCACCATGTGTGACTGAGTCAGGGTAATGGTGCGGCGTGCTCTGTCCCGAGTGATCTGCAAGCCAAGGTAGCTGCGCAGTTCACCCAGGTCTGTGCACGTGTGTCTCTTCTGCAGCTCGGACTTCACGTAGGCGAGTCCAGCAGTGTCACCTGTGGCAAAGACCAAGTCGTCGACGTACACGAGGATGTAGAACGGCGGCAAAGAGGTGTCGGTGCGCAGAAACAGCGTCGGGTCAGCAGTAGAGGGAGCAAACCCAAGAGCCGCAAGTGTAGTCCTCAGTGTGTCATGCCACTCGTGCGGTGCCTAGCGGAGACCGTAGACTGGCCGTCGGAGGCTCCACTGGATGCCAGGAGGGAAAGTCCCAGTGAACCCAGGTGGACGGCGCAGCCAGATCTCCTCGTGCAGGCTACCCTGCAAGAAAGCACTGCTGAAGTCAAGGGAGTGAAGCTCGTAGTCACGCTGAGCGGCTATGTGTAGCAGCACCCGAAGAGTGGTCATCTTCGGGGTGGGAGAGAAGGTCTGAAAGTAGTCAACTCCCTGCCGCTGACTGAAGCCACGAGCCACGTACCGCGCCTTGAAGACAGGTGGAAAACCTGGCGTCCGCTTCACCCTGAAGATCCACATGCCACTAACGATGTTCGCCCCAGGAGGGGGAACTGCGTCAACGTAGGTGCCTGTGGACTTCCAGGAAGCCATCTTTGCATCCATAGCTGCCTGCCACGGAGAGGAGTAGGGACCCTCTACGGCCTCGGCGTAAGAGCGCGGAGTCGGGATGTCAAGTGCATCCGGGTCTCCCTCAGGGGTAAGCAGTATGGACACGAGAAGAGGTGAAGTTGCAGCCAGACACTGGAACTCCTCCTGCCCGTCCTCAAGGACGTGCGTGCCAAGAGCACACTCACCCCCGACGGACGGAGGACAGACAGACGCAGACTCAGCAACAAGACTAGCAGCGTAGTCTAGACGACAGCGAGCAGCAAAGTCGACGAGCTCAGCAACAAGAGCAGACGGAGCAGTGGACTCAAAGGAGGGGTCAGTGACGACAGTAGCAAGGAGACGCGTGACAGTAGGACTGGCAGCACGAAGAGAGTCCGACTCCGTGTCGGCAAGTGCAGGAAGAGAGGACTCAATAGGAGAAGGCAAAGGGGCACGCAGTGGAGCAGTGGACGGACGTAGAGACATCCGGTGCGTGCCAGGGACAGGAGGAGGACGCTGACGCGAACCGCAACCACTAGTGCGAGCAGCACGAACAGGCGACGCAGGACGAGACGCAGGCTCACGACGCTCAGCAAGACCTCCAGTTGGACCAGTGTAGGGAGAAGGAGCAGGCAGTGGGGAGGCCGGCGGAAGCTGTGACTAGGACTAGACAGGCGGTGGACACTCTAAGGGAGGAGGAAGACCAAGAACCTACTGAAGGAGCGGAACGAAGTACGGCCTAGGCCGCGCGGCCACTCCAGACACAGCAGGGACAGCACCAGCGCCAACACCACCGCCAGCTGCAGGACCTCCAGCAGGACCAGCAGCACCCGCATCAGGACCAGAGCCAGCAGCACCTCCAGCAGCACCAGCAGCACCCCCAGCAGAACCGTCTCCAGAACTGACAGCAGTAGCCTCAGCGCCAACACCCTCAGCAGCTCCAGCTCCAGGCGAACCCGCAGGCCTACCAGCTCCAGTACTCGCGGCACGAGCACCTCCAGGACCGGCGGCACCAGCAATTCAGCTGCCGAAGAAGCTCCAGCAGGGTGCCTCCAGCGCCGGGCAAACCACTCACGCAGCTCTTGTGGAGAGAGTGGCTTCGCCGAGGCGAAGCACTTGGAGAACCTCCAGGCCCAGCACCGCCAGACCCCACTCGAGCAGGCCCAGCGGCCGCCGGCTCCGCACCCCAAGGCTCAGCAGCTCCAGACGTGGCACCCCCAGGCTCAGCACCTCCAGACGTAGGACCTGCAGGCTCAATACCCCCAGGCGTAGCACCCCTAGGGTCAGCACCCCTAGGCGTAGCACCCCCAGGCTTTGCACCCTTAGGCGCAGCACCCCCAAGCTGAGCACCCCCAGGCGTAGTACCCCCCCGCGCAGCACCCCTAGAGTCAGCACCCCCCGGCTCAGCACCCACAGCAGCACCAGAGTCACCAGTAACCTCTACCGGCTCGACCGCTTCTACCTGGGACACATCTGAAGGGGCAGGACCCTAAGGGGGGAGGGGGTCTTCCCGGGGGGGACCTGGCACAAGGAAGAGCGGTGGCGGGGGGAGAGAAGGAGTGCGGTAGGGGAAGAGGCGGTAGTAGGGGACCGACTTGTCAAACGTAACGTCCTGAGAGGACAGAACACGACGAGAGGTGGGGTGGTAGAACTGCCACCGTGGCGCGTCAGGGGGGAAGCCAAGGAAGACACAAGGAGCAGCACGAGGGGACAGCTTGTTCGCAGACAAGTCATGGACAAACGCCCGAGATCCCCAGACACGGAACGCAGACGCATCGCCGACCTTCCCCGTCCACAGCAAAGCTGGGGAGGTCTCCGGCCTTGAGACCCTGGGGTGAAGGTTGATCTGATGCGCCGCGTACCGAACCGCAAACGGCCACAGAAAATAGGGGGCAGCCGCATGCATCATGGACGTACGAGCGACGTCCATGACCATGCCAATGCGGCGCTCAGCAATCCCATTTTGCTGTGGAGAGTCCAGAAGCGTAAAGGTCTGGAAGATGCCTCGCGCACGGCAGTAGGCTCGTAGAAGGCCAGAGGAGAACTCTCCGCCTCTGTCAGAGTGCAGACGCAGAACAGGAAAGTCCGAGCCGAAGCTCCTTTTGAGCTGGAGACGAGCTGCGCGGATCCAGTCGATCAACACCTTAGTGACATCGCCCTTGCTGCGCAAGGGGAAGACTGTGGTGTAACGCAAGTAGTCGTCAACCACCAGCAGAAAGTAGCGCTCGTGACCCTGTCCACAGACGCGGGCCGGGCCCCACACGTCCATGTGAAGCGTCTGCAGCGGGGCCTCTGTCAAGGAAAACGGAGAGGAGTGAGGAGCAGCCCGTAGCCGCCCCTCGACACAGGGGACACAGGAAGGACTAGACCCCGAAGGAAGGGAAGGGAGGGAACGGGGAAGACCAGAGACAAGGACACGGGAAGCCATGCCTCGGAAACGAGGCACGGAGGGGTGACCAAGAGGGTGGTGCCACAAGAGAGTCTCGTGAGACAGGAGGCGACACGAGCAGGGGGCAGACTCAGGACCAGACCTGGACGCTGCAGCAAACACCTGACTCGACGCAGCCACCTGACCAGACGCAGGGACAAGAGGAGGCTCAGTGGTCAGGGTGTAGAG